TATAGGGAAAATCCACTTTGAGCAAATATAGAATTTTTCTTATTTGATTAGTTTTATTTTTAGCTTTTGTTTAAGAAATATTATCTAAAAACAAAGTGATATGTCAGTATTGATGACCTCGTTATACACATATATAATAAATAGTGAATTTTATTTAGAAATGATTAAGAAATAATATTAAGGGATGAAATTATCCTCATATATAGAGCAGTTTTTGACATTTTTTTGTATCTCAAAAAGTGTTGAAGATGTATAAAAAAAAATCTTATACAAAGAATTAATGATAAAATAATACTTGTATTGTGCTTCTAATACTTTCAATACTTTTAAATAAAAATAATTAAAAAATTGATAAAAATTGACACAAAGAGAGCCATTGGGGAATAATCTTGTCCTTAACATACATATGTTATCAAAGTCATGATATTCCTTGAAGTGATCTCTAACAAGTTTTAGCCGTCGCGTCGCTTGTTATTCCTTAAAAAGTTATTAAATAAAAGTTAGTAATTGTTTTCCTGCTGACGACTAAAACCTGTGGAGGTCATTCAGGATCATGACCTTGACAACATGTCAAGATCAAGATCATTGGAGATGGGTCCATTTTTGTTAACTTTTATCAAAAAATTAATAAAAATAAAATAATTTAATATAGAAAAAAGTATGCAAGCTAATGCTGGTTCTTATTGCGAATATCTTAATGTTGTTTATTCATAACAAAATATAATAAAGTCTAGACGTTTCGACCATGATTAGGTCATCTTCAATAATATTTCTGTATTTGAATATAATATTTATGTAAATTCAATGTTAAATTTCCCTTATCGTTCTTCAATCATTATAAATAATTGTTAGACTTATAAAAGACTTACAATTAAAATAGTTAAAGAATAAAAATAATATAAAATATAATTGAAAATATAAATTGAGAATGTAATTATTAAAAATTTCGCTTGTTTATTATTTATCATTTTGCTTCGTACGTATATGTTCCATTCGCAATATGCCATTCCGTTTCTTTTATCAATTGCTCAATTTTGCTAAGAAAAGGTGTTATATATTTCTAAATGTTAAATAATAAAGAGCATACAGCCACAACTAAGGATGTAAATAAGTTATATATTATTTAAAAACAATTCATAACAATAGGTAGACATTTCGGTCAAGATTTGACCCTCTTCAGTACAATAAATACGTTAAAAATTAAAATAAATACATAATTCGACTAATAATGGTAATGATAGATAGTACAGAATTTATTATTTCCTTATTATACAGAATTATTCGCAATCGATCTAATTGATTTAAGATAGATTTGAAACGTTGAAATTTAACTAAATACAAAATTCTACCGATATTTGTAACGATAGCCTGTACAAATTTTGTTATTTCCTTATTATACGGAATTATTCGCAATCTATCTAAGTGGTTTACGATAAAGATTAATAGTTGTCACAATATATGGATAGAAAGATTTTAGTTACAAAGGTTTTTTTCTTTTCTTCTTTTTTCTTCATTAATATAATTAATTCTTTAATTAAATACCAACGAGCCGCACACAAAGAGGCACGCAAGTACCGAGTTGTGTGTCCTGTGGTGCGGGAATTCCTCCATATAACTGAACACTGTGATAATTTTTAAAAATGATTTTTAACTATCGTAATGCCATTTATAAATATTTATATATTTCTATTTTCATTTTCTTGCAACAACCGTGGTCAATAATTGTATGGAAGTCGTTATTTCTGACAACATCAAATTAAGAACTCAATCTTGGTCTATCCTATGAGAAGTCATCATTTTAATAAGAAAGTCATTAAAGTAATAAAATTAGTCTAATTAATTATTAAGTTAAATTTATTGATAGATTGAAAATTATTTTTTACAATATATCCATACAATCAACATAATCATATCAATTGATAATGACGTTATCAATTTTAATGACTTTTTGAAAAAATTTTAGAGAATCTTAAACAATTTTATTCAAATTTATAACGACTGTATTACTTTAATGATTTTCTTAATAAAGTCGTTTAATTTAATAACTAATTAGACTAATTTTATTACTTTAATGACTTTCTTATTAAATTTGTTTAACTTAATGACATAAATTTGATGTTATCAGAAATGACGACTTCCATGCAAAATTGACCACGGTTGTTGTAAGAAAATGAAAATAGAACACCAGCTTTTTCTTGGCAAAATTGAGCACTTGATAAAAGAAAAAGAACGGAAAATTGTGAATGAAATATATAAGTATGAAACAAAGCGGCAAGTAATATAAACAAGCGAAATTTTTAATGATTACATTTTCAATTTATATTTTTAATTATATTTTATATTATTTATATTCTCTAACTATTTTAATTGTAAGTCTTTTGTAAATCTTAAGACAATCATTTATAATAATAGAAGAACGATAAGGAAAATTTAACGATGAATTTACATAAACATTGTATTCAAATACTGTTGAAAATGATCTAATAATGACCGAAACGTCTAAACTTTATTACATTTTGTTATAAATAAACAACATTAAGATATTCGCAATAAGAACAAGCGTTGGCTTGCTTTTTTCTATATTGGATTGATTTACTTTAGAAGCCATTACTTGATTGTATTAATATTAGAAAAATAAAATTAAGAAAGATAGAATTAGAAACTCGCCATATCTTTGTTAATTTTTTAAGTTATGCAAAATATAAGGTTTTTTCATTAAAAAAAGAATACAAATTTTATCGATTAGATCTAACGTATTAAAACATAAACTTAAATTATGATCAAATTTGAAATCAGAAGTCTAAAAAACTCTTATGTATAAAATTCCAATATAAGACAATTTTTTAAAATTTGTCTGTCATATATTAGTTCTGCCATTAGTTCTGACTTTTTAAATTTCAACTTCAAATTTGTAATCAACGACTTCCAAAACTCTCATATATTAACAGTAACACTACCCAAGTGCCATACGCCGATTTCCCTGAGACTGTGCATATATGTAGTATACATTGAAAAATCTGACAGAGAGCGAGAATGTCTTGCTGTTTTCATTTAACACAATCAAATCCGCCATATTGGTTTCACGATATTGAATTCTCAAAAAGTGGGAACAGATTTGAATTCAGCAACTTCGAAAATCACCGTATTTTTTTATAAAGGGTGGGCCATCTATTGGTACGTTTTTGAATTTTAGCTTCACAACAAAAAAAAAATTAATAAAAAATATCAATGTATGCTCATTTGATCGCATTTTTAAAAACGTACCAATAGATGGCCCACCCTGTATCTGTCCAAAAGTCGTTTTAAGGATAGAAAACGCCCTTATGAATGTATAGTGAATTCCAGTATTTGTCGAAGTACTCGTTTATTATAGAATAGGGTATACAGTGATTTTCGAAGTTGCTTTGTTGAATCCAAATCTGCTCCCAATTTTTGAGAATTTAATATGATGGAACCAATATAACGGATTTGATTTTTTTTTTAATGAAGATAGCAAGACATTCTCTTTGTCGAACCCGGGAATAACCAACGTGGAGGTGACGAGAAACTATTCCCTTTTTTTTAATTTTTTTTTATTATTTTGGATTTTTGGAAAATTTTTTGTTTATTTTTGAGACTTTTATAAAGTAAAGCATATAAAGGAGCTGGAGATAAAATTATTATTATTATTAGATGTTCATGCTTTATATTTCAATATATAGTGTGAGCAAAAGTCTTAAAAAATAAACAAAAAATTTTTTCAAAAATCCAAAAAAATTAAAAAAAAAGGGAATAGTTTCTCGTCACCTCCACGTTGGTTATTCCCGGGTTCAGCAGAGAGCGAGAATGTCTTGCTGTTTTCATTTAACACAATTAAATCCGCCATATTGGTTTCACCATATTGAATTCTCAAAAATTGGGAGCAGATTTGAATTCAGCAACTTCGAAAATCACCGTATACCTCATTCTATAACAAATGTACGAGTACTTCGTCAAATACTGGAATTCACCTCTACACATTCATAAGGGCGTTTTCTAACCTTAAAACTGCTTTTGAGCAGATATAAAAAAAAAAAGAAATTTTTCAATGTACTACATGTATGCACAGACTCAAGGAAATCGACGTATAGCACTTGGGTAGTGTTACTTGTAAGATTCAGTAAAATATGATCAAAAATTAATTTTGTGCAAAAAAGGATAAAATAGGAAAATAAGATAAATAAATGAAACGAGATTACTAATACCTGGGATGATAGTAGATATAAGTTGTAGATACAAGTAGATGTTGTAAAGATATTTCTCGCTATCAAAAATATCAGATATTTTTTCTATCGTTTTTAATCCTAAAATATAGTTATTGCTGCAAGATTGCGTCCTCATAATCTCTATTCTTTTGAAGTCATACAGTATGTGATAGTTATTCTGAAATTCGTTCCAAATGGCATCGTTTTCTCTCCATTCCTTTACATGTAATGAAATTCTGGCATCACACAGTATAACGTTCACAGACACATTATTTTTATTTTCGTAAAACAATTGATAAATTTTTGAAAAGAAACTCGCATGCCCTGTGCTGTCAAACGTTTCACAGAGTTTTAGATATTTCATCGCTACATCACATAGATTACTCGAGATCTGATATGTTTGGCCCATAGTCAAACTTAGATCCAGCGCGCTAAGAGTTAATATTTCGTTGCTACGTAGAATATTTGTATCTAATATTAGTAAATGTACTTGTTGAGATGCTAAAAATGTTTGAAGTTGATTGATATACTTAGAGGACTGTACACCTTCCTGTGCAGCAAATTTTATATTCTGTAAACATATCGTAACATATCTTACTTATTACAATAAGATTTATTATACAAATCGTAAAATATATTTACCTCTAGTGTAGAAGTTTTTGAGCTTTCTTTAAAGGAATCTATTGTGTTTAAAGTACGAATGTGTTTATACAGATTCTGCTTAAACGTGTGTAGTGCTTCTGAAAATCGAATCTCACCATCCAATTGTGTGTTTTCCATATGAAACATCTAGGAAATACAATATATTTCTAAATGATATTGGAAGAAGCTTAAAATGCTAAATCAAAAAGCAGTTATATTACTGTTAATAATTCAGATTTGTATCTTACAAACAATTTCACATGCAGTTAAATACTTAAAATAAACTATATTTGTAATTTTTAATTCAAATCATAATATCTTGATCAAAGTTGTAATAGTTATTCAGTATAGATTGATGTACGGGATACCAAAGTCTTTGAAATTGCGTTGGATGATGTAAATTACGACGAAGAGAATGAAAACGAAATGATTCAACCAGTGGATCTTGCGGATTTGAAATCTTTTGTAAAAGACGAAAGCAAATATGAACCATTACATTCTCATGTAAAATATTACAATGAGCTTAACGCCAGAAATAAAAACCGGTATTCAGATATATTGCTGCTGCAACCACGTATGAAAGAAATATTCAATTTGGAACAAGAAAATAAACCATTTATTGCTGGTTTTAAGCATAATTTAGATAAGGTAAATATTTTCATTAATAAATCTATTTACAAAAAAAAAACTGTAGAAAATAGGAAAAAATTTTTAATTTCAAATGCTTGTAAGGCAGTACGTAATTGTTACAAAGATACTTAAAAGATGAAAATGAAATTTGAAGTTTGTATTTTGGTAAATTTTTTGTACTGATTAAGTGCGATAATTAATTTTCCAATGATAATTGTCCAAGGATTGTCTCTATTTACAAATGGCACGTAACAAAAATTAACGTGTCATTTTTCGCTTCTAACGTCACGATTCAATATGACTAATTATTCAAGAGTTTTAATCGGTATCAAAAATTCTTCAAAATACATTCTTCAAGCTCCATCTTCGTTTTTTCTGTATCATAATTATTAAATGGTTTATGAGCATTTAAATTTCTTAAATTTTTCCTATTTTCTACTGCATCGCTTTTTCTTTAAGTGTATACTGTATTTCTTCAAAACCATAAAGCAGACCACTGATGTATAATATCAATTAACACAAACAATTAACCATATTCATTGATTCTAAGAATATAATGTTCATATATAGTATATTAATCATATTTATTAATTTTTTAATAAGAACAAGAGAAATGTACGGAATTTTGAGAGATTACAGAATTATAGAAAAGATACAAATGTTGCCATAGGTACTAATTAATACGTGTAGTTAACATCATATTATATCTATTATATATTAATAAATGAAAAGAGAAGAAATAAATATTCTTCTGTTGGCAAATAAATAGACAAAAGTGTAAAAAGCATTAGAATAAAACGCGAAGAGATAACAAATCATTATGGAATAATAAATAAAGAGATGGATTTTTTCCAAGTTATAAGAGATAGGAATATTACAACTAGTAAAACAGAAACAACGGAATATTTCGTGATAACGCAAGAGGCACAATATAACTTATACGAATATGACCAAAAAACTGCAAGTAAAGAAATAAAAATTACTCTGGATCAGTTTTTAATTTCGAAAAGAAGACCTAGAGTTGCAGATAAAAAGAATTCTCATAAAGATTCATACGATGAATATAATAGACTTAAAATGGAATACGAACAGCAGCTGGAATATGACATAAAGGAAGGAAAAGTACTGAATTATAGTCAGAAAGAATCGAAGGATATGCCAAAAGAAGCATTGAAAAGATTAATAGATTTAAAACGGTCAAAAAATTGTACAAAGAAAGAACTGAGCCAAATCGGAATCAAAGCAATAGAATGTCTTTTATACGATTTTCAGCGCACGAAAGACATAATGACCGCGAAGATGATTCTTTCGAGGACATGGTTGGTTCTCCGAATTTGGTTGTTAATTTATATTTCTTTCGCAATTCCTTGTTGGTGTCAAAGAGGTAATTTCATCAATCTTGTATCTTTTCTTGGAAAAATTTTTATATGGAAATATTATAATATTGTTATATGTGAACATTTTTTCTACTATATTTTAGGATGGTGTTGCTGCTGTTTCCGTTGTAAATTTTGTTTTCCACGAAAAAGGATCATGCTCATCAAACAATATTACGCAATGAATCCACCTGGCATTTTCGTGAAGGATTTAAAAAAGGTGAAAGAACCTGTTAAATATGAACCTACTGAATATGAATACAATACATACAAGACTTTCGAAACTGCAATAAGAAATATATGAATATTAATACATTCGTTATTTGCTAATCGGATATAATTTAAGATAAATCTAATTCAGATATCCGTTGATTTATATGTTTATCAGCACTTTTTTATTCAGAAATAAAAAACATTTTCCTTAGATGTACGAGTAAGAAATACGTTTATATTTCTAAACGATGAATGTGCTAATATTCATTAATTATAATTGTACTCAATCTTACATTATGATATATTGATAATTTGATGTGACTTGTTTGTACGACATAAAAATTATTAAAACATTTGTTTAACTTTGATCTAATTTGTACAGAAGACAAAAAATCAAACACAATAAAAATGCAAATATGAGTAATACTAGAATATGTACATAAAATTTGTTATTTAAAGATATAAAAAAAATGTAAAAGATTCGACCTTTTGTCTTAAAAATCCTCTTTACTACAAACTTACAAAATAATTAAATGTGTCAAGTCAACTATAAGATTACATTAGTAAAAAACGTATAAATTGTTGTCAAATGGAGTGATGAGATGCATATTCAAATAATAGTTACACATTAAAATTACGTATCTAGAAATAAAATAAGTTATTATATAGAATGCAAGGTTGGGAAAATTACTTTACAAGTTACTTATAAATTACATTGTATTGAGCTGGAAGAAAAGTTTTATTTCGTTAGCTCAAAATTATATACAGAATATATTCGTTGCAAAATTTTCGACTATCTGACGTAAACGCTTAAAGTTTTTTCCTAAAAATTCGTTTTTAAAAAATGTTCCTACAACTTTTTCTTACCAAGTTTGTTACATGCAGATTAAATAAAAGAGCATTCTAATTTTGATTGCTTATAATTCTGTTAAAAATCATATCGCAATTAAAAAATCAGATTCTTAAAGCTGAAACTTTACTCTAGCGAATGATACAATTACTAATTTTTTTAATGTAGAATTATATATTATATAAATTTGAGCTAAAAATATAACATTACTTTTTTTTTTAACCTTTATAAATAATAATAAGAACAATAATGTCATTTTAGTTCAAATTTATATATATTCTATTTTTCTTAAATTGGTAATTATACGATAGAGCAATATTTCAGCTTTAAGAATCTGTTTTTTTTTTTAATTACAGTACGATGATTTTTAATGGAGTTATGAGCAATCAAAGTCAAAATGTTCTTTTTTACTTATCCGCGAGTAACTCAGGAACAAAAAATCATAGGCATATTTTTAAAAAATAAAAATTTTGTAGAGAAAGCTTCAAGTTTTCATTAGATATAGATAAAAATTTTTCATTTTTTTCCACTCGTAGTTTCTGTATATATTCTATAAAAATTACAAAACTCATATAAATTCAAAAAATATAAAAGTAAGTATTCAAAAGTATTAAAAAAATATAAAAGTAAGTATTCAAAAGTATTCAAAAAATATAAAAGTAAGTATTCAACAAATATAAAAATAAGTATTCAAAAGTAGAGATTTCAAGCTTTAAAACCCTTTTTTAAAATTTAATTTTTGATAATTTTCAGAAGATTTCAAGCTTTAAAGCCTTTTTTTAAATTTAAATTTTGATAATTTTTAACAAAGATATTATATATATAATTTTAAACTAAAAAATATCGCAAAACTTTTCCTCCGATCTAATATTATACAAATTGAGTACAATATGTTCGTGTATTTTATTTTTTATATTATATTTTATCATTTGCTCCAATTTTGAATTACTTTTTGTATTCAATTTCTATAACAAAGATATATAAAGTAATATAAAAAGTAACTTTCCCAATCCTGATAGAGTGATTTAGTAACCACATCACCTCTCGTGAGCAGGTGGTCGAGAACTAAATTGAGATGAACAGTCCTGTACCATTTTATACTTTCCGTAATAGTTAACAAGAAATTAATAAGAGATAAATTAATAAATTAATAAGAGATAATTAATTAAAGATCTTCGAATGAGTGTATCAACTCGGTCATATCTCATCGCGAAATGCAAAGGCGGTGAGGTATGACTGCCCAAGATCGGACGGATACTCGTTTATTACAGAAACTTCTTGTTAACTGTTATGAAAATTATAAAAATGGTACAGAACTTTCCGATTTGTAACGAATTCAATTGGACGCACAAGTGCATCCAATTGGGTGTCAAAGCCGTTATACAATGATTTAATCTGAATGTAAAAATGAAATGCAAATATTTCGAACTATAAAATATATATTTTACTTCACAGCATAATAAAGTGTATTGAGTATTTCAAAATTTGATTAGTTTTTATGTTTATAATAAACATATTTATTTACATCAATTTATGTACGACGGCTTTAATGCACTGAATGCGTCCAATCGAATTCGTTATTAGTTTAATCCACTTTACCTGCTCACGAGAAATAATCCGGTCATTACTGATTATTACTGGACATTCTTTACAAAATTATAGTCGCAGACTTGAATTATCAAAGTTCCCGATTAAATGTGAATGGGTAAGTGTCATGTTTACCGATCGATGATATTATGAAAATAAGTTATTCGATATGATGCATTATTAGTATAAAACAACATTACCTCAACTACCTCTTGCGCTTTCTGAAAATTGCCTTTCCATAAACAATGTACAATCAGACTTTCTTTCGACGCTAACATTAAATTTATTAAGGACAGTTTATCTTTCGTTGTCAAATGATCTGTCTTTTCTACAGCAATTCGTGAACATTTTCTGCGTTTATTTCTGCTTAATAAGCCAGACTCCGAACTACTGTCAGATTTAACTTTAATTTCATCGGAGGTACTGTCTCCTTTATAAAAAAATGTATCCTCTGTGATGCGATGTGGAAAACTCGGTGTTTGAGAGATTATAGATTCTAATTTATTTACACCAGAGGGATTATCAGACTCGTCTTGTGGCGTACCAACATTTTCAAAAAAATAAAGTCCCATATGAAATTTCAATCTCCAACGAGTATCTATCAATGTTGATGTAAAAGTGGATACATTTTCGTGAAGTTGTTGCATTTCTTTATGCGATTCGAGTACTTGTAATTTATCAATTTCTTCTGTTGTAATCAAAGTACTCTTCCATAAATAGTACAGCATGTCTCTTACAGCATATTTATTAGCTATAAAGCCAGACTTCTCATGTTCTATTGATTTACGAATATTGCAATCATCTTTGGAACTAGCATTTATAACGTTGAAATCTTCATAACGTAAAAATAATAAGGAAAATATATTCTCCATTGTCTCTATTCTTAATGACAGAGGAAACAAAGAAGATAAGTGTGACATCATATCAGAGAAGTATTTAGTAATTTGTTTATGTTCCACGTTATAAAATTCACATAAAAAAATGGCTTTTAAGACGCTTATTATGCAACAATATGCTTGAAAACTCATAGATTGATTTAAAGACACCTCTTTCACTAAATCTTGAATGTCACTATAATCTCGATCATGTATATCTGTTATTAGTTTCAAGACAAAAAGTACATTGTGTTTTTGCAAAAGAGACAAAATTTGTTTTATAGATACTGTTTGCTCAATCATATCAGATTGCGAATTTTTTGATTCTTTGGTACTTAATTTCATATCTATAAAATATTGTTTCTTCCACTGTAAAATGTATAACACAATTCTAATATGATTTTTTAAAAGCGCATATAATTTGTTCAAACAATCATCATTGTATAGATCAGAGTAACATTTCTCCAAGAAGAAGTTGATGCACTCACAAATAGAAATACCATTGTCATAGCTTTCACGAGTATTCATTATTTCCTGTGGACAATCATTTAATACTTTAAATAATAACACTGGATATAATCTTTTTAACAAATTACATGATAGCAACAATTCAACTTCATTATATCTTCCTTTCATAATCAAGATATAACATATATCCTGTAACATATAAAAATTTATTATAATAATTATTAGTCAATTATGGTATATATTTTTTTATACATATACATATATATACTATATAACATAAACTACACTATGTGTGTGTGTGCGTATGCGCACATATTATGTGCATATGTACTAGTCTATACTGTATAGTATGCATACATGCAGATATGGCTAGTAACATGTTATTTGCCATCCCTGCATACATCCATATACAGCCATATATATGTATCTGTTAATTTGCTAATTTGTTAAATTGTTTTATCAATTAAACGAAGCTTTAGGAAAATACGAAACTTACCAAAATACCGTTCAACCAATGTAATTTTCTTGCACTTGTTCTTTTAAGTAATTCTTGTTTGCACAAAAGAATTTCAGAGTTCTCTGTTAATTCAAATACACTTTCACATATTTTATATACTGTGAGTAAAGTAGCAGTGCTTTCAAAACACATGTGTGTTTTATTCCAAAGTAAGAGCCATTCACTTAACAACTTATCATTTTTCTTTGAATATAAAGTAAGTTTAATATTTTTAATATACGATTTTGAAAGCGTAGGACAAATCATTTTCAGAAATTCGATCTGCGAACCTGCATCTATATCTATTTTTGACAAAAAGCTTAGAACCATTTGTAGAGACTTGTCGCAAGTAGCTAAATCAGTTTCAGAAGAATGAGCTACTATATGATTTAAGTGCCATCTTTTTCTGGGTGGAATGTGTTCTAAGTATGACTTCAAAATAGAAAAATAACTATCTTGTAAATCTCTAGCAGTGTCGCTTGGAACGAAATATATTAATTTGTTTATAATCCAACACACAATTTCAGTACTGATACATATGTTATCTTTTACGAATATAAGAATTTGTTGGAATATAATACTTGAAGTATATTTTATGCTACATTGTGTGCTTAGTTCTTGAAGAAATAATAACAATTCCTAGAAAATAAAATTTTTCTTATTAAAAACAATAACACAAAGTCACAAAAAACCAATTTTGAGAGAAATACTTTATGTAAACAGTCTGGTACATTACTGCATAGCTCTATCGCATTTTTTATTTGTATGCAATCAAATTGTGTCTGAATATTGGACTGTATACTACAGTCAACATTAGCTGACTTGTTATCTATAAGTTTCCACAGTAATATATAAGCGATCCATTGATATTGCTCCTCATTTGGGGAATGTCTATAAACATATATATATATATATATTCCAAAATATAAAAATAAAAGCAGTGACAATAATATAACTCATGATATAATTAGTTGCTTACTTACATCAAGCTTTCGATTACAGTTTCCAATTCTGTTAAGTCAACACAGCAGTTGTGATGGAATTCATTCAAAAAATTGCTATCATTGTTTATATTGAAAATATTTAGAGATGTATACCATAAGTGAGAGAAAATGCATTTGTTTAATTCCAGCCCTTTTGTTTGTATCGACATTGTTCCACATTGCTCTCTTTATAAAATTCTTCTTCTGGCCGGTGGATTTCTGATTTTTTGTAAAAATCACAGTACCACGCTTCCAAGTAAAGATCACTGGGCTGAAAGGAGCCAGTCATATCAGTGCATTATTTTAATTTTATAATATTAACTACGAGTGCGCTATTTCATTCGTGCGTCTTTGTCGTATAATAGAAATGTATACAGAACATGACAGAACAGAGAGGTCTTCGGATATCTCTATCCCATAGCCAATCAACAGGCTTGAAAAATTTGTCGTACGACAAATGTGTACAGAACAGAGAGGTCCTCAGATCTCTCTATCCTATAGTCAATCAACAAGCTTGAAAAATTTATCGTACGACAAAAACGCACAAATGAAATATCACTCTACCACACGTATTCAAACGTAATCCTTTCTCATTTGATGACGGAGAACACAGATTCTTGCATAACGCATAACACATAGTGCATAAGAAGTAGCATAAGAAAATGAACCAATCAAAGTCCTTTATTTCCTTTCTTTCCATAAAATAAAGGACTCTGATTGGTTTATTTTCTTATGTCTCATGTTTTATGCGTTATGCAAGAGTCTGTGTTCTCCGTTTAAGAATGAAGAAAACCTTCATGAAAGATTCTTCGATTCTTCAAGATCTTGCTTTATAAATGGATCACATGTCTTTCTTCCCGAAGGAAAAAATATTTTAAGAATTTTAGTAACATATTGGAGACAGCATGTCATAATATATAGTATGAGCAAACTTTCTAACTTTCCGTAATAATAATCATAAGTTTTCGTAATATAGGTTTTTGACCAATCGCGTTGCTCAATTCGGTTGTCCGTAACCATAACCACACCCGTAATAATCAAGTAACGCGATTGGTCGAAAACCTTACTGTTACTGTTACCAAAAGTGTGTGTGTGAAACTAGCTTAATACACGTATTCATAGTCCTTCCTTGAGGAATGAGGATTCCTTATTCCTTATTTCACGTTTCATAAACCTTCCTTGACAAGGAGCCTTATTAGCTTCCTTCTCTCAAAAAAGATTACGAGTTTCCTTGAAGAAGAGATGCAGCCTTCATAACCAAACAAACCACCAAATTTAGTTCGTCACATCGGTCTTTTTATTTTGCTTTTGCATAGATGGATCTAAATTCGAGAAGGATAACTGCACGGGTGCTGGTATATATTCACCTTCGCTACATCTGGAGTTTATGCATCGTCTTCCAGCCAATGCCTCAATCTTCACGGCAGAACTCCTGCTCGTCACGCTGAAAATAATACGCGACAGAAACATTTCTAAAGCGATTATATTTACGGATTCGAAGAGTGGAATCCCTTTCATCATCTCGCCTGGATATTGGATGCTACTTGACCTACGCCATCAAAAATCAATTTTACTTAGCAACATGAATGAACATTTGCATCAGACTCGTTTGGATCCCGTCTCACAGGGACATAGAGGGTAATGAAAGAGCGGACGAGCTGGGCGCTAAACAGGGTGATAGAATAGATTTGGAGATCCTTTACTCTGATTTATTTTCAGAAGCTAGAGGTTCTGCTGCGGAGTAATATAGAGCTTATCTCGACAAGAAATTTAGATGGAAAGGCCTACATTATGAACAATTTTTTCATTCTCAAACCAACAAACCATGATTTAATAAACACTTCTTTAAAAGAGACGAGATTGTCTTAATCAATCAATTACGAGCAAATCGTTACAACCTCAACTACAGCCTTCATAGGAAAATCTAAGGCTTGTCCTTGCGGCAATCCTACTCAGGATATTAATCATATCATTTTCTCATGTTCGCTCACTTCCCCTAAAGCTGACAAACTCATTACATATATTAACAGCTCTTATTCACGTACATCTGTAACTCTATATCTTCCCCCTCCTTAAAAACCCTTCCTCTAAGCTATGTCGTTTGCTCTTATTATTTCTTAAATTAAACAATCTTAACATTTAAAACTCCCCAGCCAGCCGAGCTCGCTTTCACGATCCCTCTGGGCACTTTCGTTTTGCGTATGGAGCATATGGTCCTCCTTTTAACTCGTTCGACTACTCTATGTCACTTGCGAGACTCGCCGCCTCCGGCCATTTTCGATACTGGCCATATCGACTCAGCTTGTAGTCGGGACCACTCTACCAACATTATTATTACAATAGAAGTTGGCAACTTTGATCGTGTATTAGTTAACCACAAAAATAGACGCATTGGTTTTTATCAGCCTTCGCAGTTTGTTAATCTTTCGTAAATTAAATAATTGAACGTTTTTTGTGCAATTTAATAGTCGACATGACAAAAGGTATAACAGGGATGCGCTTCTGATTTTTAAATTAATTAAATATGATTATAATATAAATTGATTATGTTTACACTTTTAAAAAATAATAAATAACAAATCAAAGGACTCTTTCTATACAAAACAAATAATAATAAGTAACGGGCAAAGAGTCAACATATTTCTTTGAAATTAACAAAATATATATATTATAATTAACAGAGGTAAAATTACATAGCGCCAAAAATTATAATCGAAATTACGAAAATGATTACAAGTAACAAGTTTCGGCTACCGGATTGAGCCCTCTTCAGATATTAACATAACGAAAAAATCGCAGAATAAAATCAATTATCGCAAATGATCGCATATTCAGAATATTCACAGTTCGGGTGAGTCTTGATCTCGAATTCAACATAATTTCCATACGATTGAACCGTCAAATGTATTAAAAATATCTTGGTAAAGTTCAGAATTCATGTGTAAGAAATTTAAATTAGTGTGTCCAAAAAAGAATAAAAAACTTTTGAAATATATACAGCAAGAAGGAACGTAGATGTGTAAGACAGACATTACGTGTCGATTATTATGTACAGTAGTGTGCGGATCAACACAGACTACTAAATTTCTTACACATGAATTCTCATCATTTGCGATAATTGATTTTATTCTGTGATTTTTTCGTTATATTAATGTCTGAAGAGGGCTCAATCCGGTAGCCGAAACTTGTTACTTGTAATCATTTTCGTAATTTTGATTCTAATTTTTGGCGTTATGTAATTTTACCTCTGTTAATTATAATATACATTTTTTGTTAATTTCAAAGAAATGTGTTGACTCTTACTTTGCCCGTTACTTATTATTATTTGTTTTAAAAAATAATAGATATTTTTAAAATACAAGAAGTAATATATTATTAAAAGTACAAGGTAAAAAAAAACAGATTGAAACAACTAAAGTTTTGAATAATTTATGTTTTTTTTTTTTCAGACGAAAATTTAGAAAAGAAATCTGTGGAACGTAATGATAGCGATAAGAAAGCATCTGATTCTGGGCCTGATCCTTCTGCCCCAATCACAAGAAAAGGAGTATTAACATCCTTTTTAACTGGCAAAGCTATGGAAATACCAGAGCAAGATATTGTAATAAATTTAATATTTTATCATTTATAGTGAATTTTTTTTCTAAGATTTTATTAAACACTCTAGATTTTATTTATGTGTTGTAGCTTGGCAAATGTAGATTTGTCTCTGAATTTGAAAAACTGAATCGTATTGGAGAGGGTACTTACGGAATTGTGTATAGAGCTAGAGATACAAAAAATGATAAAGTTGTTGCATTGAAAAAAGTAAGAATGGAACATGAAAAAGATGGGTTACCAGTAAGTGGTCTCAGAGAAATATCGGTTTTATTATCATGCCGACATGAAAACATTGTACATCTAAGAGAAGTGGTCGTAGGCAGAAGCTTAGAAAGCATATTTCTTGCAATGGAGTATTGCGAGCAAGATTTAGCAAGTTTATTAGACAATATGCAAGCGCCATTTTCAGAAAGCCAGGTCAAATGTATAGTATTGCAAGTGTTGAAAGGTCTGCGTTATTTACATCATAACTTTATTGTTCATAGAGACTTGAAAGTCTCTAATCTGCTTATGACTGATAAGGGTTGTGTAAAGATCGCGGATTTTGGACTGGCTAGATGGTTCGGTTTACCTTTAAAGCCAATGACTCCTAGAGTAGTAACATTATGGTACAGAGCACCTGAATTACTATTGCAAGCTAAGACACAAACTACTTCAGTTGATATGTGGGCAGCAGGGTGCATATTAGGTAAGAAATCAATAGGTTGTAAAAGCTGTATAGGCAGTATATTGTTATTTTAATTATATTAATTTATCATATTAATAATTATCAGAGTTGAGTAAGTTAATGTTTTTTTTAAACTAAATTAAGTTAAAGTTAATGATTTATAAAATTAATAAAATTAAGTTAAAAGTTGAGGGAATAAAACATTAACTTAATAAAAATTAAGATTGAATTAACTAAAAAAACAATTTTGAAAAAACTATTTTTGAGATAAGAATGTCCTAATTTTTCTTAAAATGAGATTACTTTAAATAACACTTAAAATATAGATTATTAGGTAAATTTAATTTTCTTATTTATAGTAAGTTACTTATATACATATAATAAGTCATACATATATAATAAGAGAGTGACACCATAAGGCGTTTTTATCAAAATTTTATCTTGCGAGAGAGAAGAATATATATTATTGGCATTATCTCTCCTTTGTCTAACTTTCTTTAACTTCCAAAACAACTATTCTACTATTTGTTACAAAAAATATATGTAAAAATTTAGAAAATGGATGAATATGCAGCACAGTTTTACAATAATTCTTCATCTAAAGCTCATTTCAGGTTTATGTTGCTGAAATATAATATTGCTAAAATAAATTTATGACACCTAAAATTAATATTATTCAAATATAAGTTGGAATTGACAAAACCTAGCGAGTATAAATAAAAATTGGCTACTGTATGGTGTGACTATATAGTCTCTAATTATAAAATCATTGAACTTTTTTTTAAATTAATTCTCTAATGTTTAAGATTTTATAGAAAAAAATATTAGCATTAAGAAATAGAAAAATTTTTTAATTTAAAAAAGTTAATAAATTAAAGTTTAGAAGTAATCAAATAACTAAATTAAAAATTACATTTACAATTAAATAAGTTAAAAGTTATTAATTTACTAATTTTTACAATTTCAATTAACAATTACATTTACAATTAAATAAGTTAAAAGTTATTAACTTATTAACTTTTTTTTAACTTTTACCGTCTTAATTAGTCAATGCCCAATTATATATAATTTATTATATTAGGTTGAGTAAAAAGTCATCGCGTATTTTTTAGCTCAAAGTTGTATATACAATATCTTCGTCAATAAATGAAATTCAAATTTAAAAAAAGGGTTTTAAAGCTTCAAATCTCTACTTTTAAAAGCTTATCACATTTTTTAAGTTTATATGAGTTCGATAATTTTTACATACCAAAAACTACGAGCTGAAAAAGACGAAAAATTTTCTTCTCACTTTGTGGATTTGTAACGTGTCCAAAACGAATTTGAGAA